TTTCCCCCCTGAACGATTAAAAAAACTCTCCGGTTGCATTCTATGATACTAATATTATAATAAATCCAGTTTTAATATTAAAGCATGTCTCTGGCTCTGAGAATGGGAACTTTAGAATATATTTTCCACAACCTCCAGGGCTCTAATATATAAAAGAGACGTGTTAGCCTATCAAAACAAAAAGTGTTTGTGTTTCAAGAGATACAATAATTTTGAAGTTAGACAGGAGTTTTATAAAGCATGCATCCTTTACTATATACACAATTTCCACTGCTTTACCTCAAGGCTGTGTTCACATGACACCCTCAGCCTGGGCAAATGCATTCTAGTCTAACATTTTAGGCTTACGGTTCAGTGTGGCCTGCAAACCCACAAAATGAGCAGAGGTAAGCATCCCAGTGTCTTTCCAACTCTTATTTTCACTTCTAGCTTAACAGCAGTGTATCAGAAATCACAGACATTCAGGTTTACAGATTGTAATGCGGAAGGGCTGCAGATTTGGGGAATGGGGCAGTTTCCCATTTGGTAGGAAATCTTCCTGCTCTCCTCCTTACTCTTCCCCCTCTCTCTTTTTCAAAGAAGGCCACCATAGTACCATGACATTTTAAATGGAGACATCTTAAATTGAGCTTAGTGTGTGATGCTAACTCAGCTAAAGATTGACTTAGAGGCTGAAAGGAGCTGGAGGGGCAATAGTACAGCTTACCTCCTGCAAGTTACATTTGTGAAAGCCTGGAAAGAGCTCTAGACTCAGAAGTAAATTAGGCAATATGATAAAAAAAAACAACCAATTGCTTAATTCAGACAGAAATTGTCTACCTAAAGCAGGGGTGGGGAACGACGGCTCTTTTATGACTTGTGGACTTCAACTCAACTTCAGCTCCCGGCTCAGGAAGTCTAGGAGTTGAAGTCATAAAGGAGCCATGGTTCCTTACCTCTGATCTAAAGTTACTATTATTATGAGGGGCAGCTTTCCCCCCCAGGAACTTCATCCCAATTGCAAAAAGAAAAAGAAAACAAAACAAACAACATAACAAAATCAAAATAGTTTTTCATATAGACTTTCTTGCTGAACAACCTAGGACATTTCATTAGTCCTCCCTTAATCTCATTCCAAGTGATTTGGGGGAGCAAAGCACTTCTTGTTACTGCCAGCTAACCATTCTTGATTTTCCATTGCTAACTTCTACACCTTCCATCCTGAAGAAATGTTGTCCCCTCTCTACATATTTATACGATTCTTTAGCTACTTAAAAGCAAAAGCCTATCTGCAGTTTTATCTTCAAATTATGCAGACAATATATATATTGTCCCTCCCACAAACTTTGGGACAGGACGGGAAGAAGAAGTCGAAGTTGCCGCTCCCCGAAGGGTGGTTGGACAGAGCCCGAGCCCGGTGTAGAGAGACAGCAGCTCCGATCACACTTTGCTCACACAGAAACTGAAGACTCCAGTCGCAACTGCGAAATATTTTTATATTATAGCAAAAAAGCCAGAAATGGTCCATCTTAGTCTCCCAATTTAATTCTTTACTCTTTGTCAGAAAAAAGAAATTTGGATATAAAAATATTTCGCAGTTGCGACTTGAGCCTGCTCTATGCCCCTAGTTGGGGGCGGCAAGGCAAGAGATACTGTAAAAAGAGTAAAACTGCAGTATGGCAGTTGAAAATGTCAAGGTGTTCNCTCTTGTAGCTAACAAAGTGAGAAAGAGCCTGTGGCCTAGGGGCAACACTTCTGCTTAACATGCAGACAGCCCAGGTTCGAATCTCAGCAAGGGTATGTCTGGCTGATGAAAACCTAATAAGGTTAGAAATAGCTATCCCAGTACTCCCTTAATTCTTTGTTAGCAATCCAAATTTTGAAAAACATATATATATATATATATATATATATATATATATATATATATATATATATATATATATATATATATAGTCTGCATAATTTGAAGATAATATATGAACTTTAGTGACCTAAATATAAAAGAGTAGCCTTCTACACCTTTAATAGTCGAGTACAAGCTGTGCCACGGGAAACTCCTTATTTTATCCAGCTATTAAAAGTACAAGACTCTTGCTTCTCTTGGCACCTACCACCCAATCAATACCAAGAAACACAGCGATACATCATTACAGCACTCTAGTTGCACAACACTAAGTCTTAATTAAGTGAGCCAGATCCATTGGAGGGGAAAGGAGAACAACAGCAAGGTGTCATGTGTGGTAATTTAGGAAGACATATAACACTGAAGTTTTTACCCTGTTTTATTTTAAATGCTCTTATTGGAAGGTTTCAAATGATGGACCGAGTCACAATTTTTCTTACGTTTTGTGTAAAAATGAATGCTGTCTTGCTGTTCGTTGTTTTGAATAGTCCCATTCAAAGGAACCCATGCACATCTACCAATTCAAAGTCTACCTGGCTGGGCTAGAAGGTAAATGGTTAATCGTTTGTTGTCTAAATACAGTTGTCTACTGCCTATCTATAGCACTCTAATCATTTTTCCCCCTTTCTGTTCATTTGTATCCAATTCTCAGATACTACCTGGACAACTCCCTGCAGTTTTCTAGGCAAGGCTTTTTGGAAATGGTTTGCCAATGCCTTCTTCCTTGGGCTCAGAGAAAGTGATAGGTTCAAGAGCACCCAGCTGACTTTCTAGCTGGATGCCTTAATCACTGCATCAAACTGACTCTCTCTAATCAGTTTAGAACACATAATTTTTTTTAAAAAAACCCATCAACTTAATTAAAGACATTCACAACCAACTATGAGACCTTGTTAACAAAACCAGTTCCTTCTCAAAATAAGGCTTTTCCAAAAAAGCTGGACCCGTCCCACCTTGGCACATTTCCCACACCTGCTATGTCTCCTTCAGAGTGCCATTTACTTCACCCAGTTTACATGGGAACTGACTTTTCTTGCAAGGACCATATCTAGTAGTGTTTTGTTAAAAGTTATCATTTCCTACCAGCCCAGGTAGACTGAAACCTCCCAGAATAAACCTTTCTGCCTTTGTGGCCTCTTTTGAGTGGGTTAAATGCATCCCATCTTCTTTTATTCATGTCCAGTCACACAAATATATGATATAAAGCTGCAAATTATTACCATGCCATAGGATTATATAGTGATTGGCACTAATATGGTTATATTCTGTGGAATATGATTATGATTGTGGTGCATAGAATATGTTCATTTTCTAACAATGGTTCCCCCAGTAGCTAATTCCTGTATTTAAGCACAAATTTCATAGATATGGCTAGCTAAATCTGATCTTATTATTTCTCATAAATTCTTTCTGTCCCGTATCTGCATCAGCGTGCATAAATATTTTATATGTACATTTTTCTAAGTCACGTGGTTCTGTATTCTTTTTTTTACATATATTTTGCAGCCCATCTTCTCCACCAGAAAACATAACTATGTTTTTTTCCCCTACTTACAGTATTCCTTCTTAAAATATACCTTTTACGTTATTTTTGCTTAGTTTTGTTAGTAAAACTATGTTACTAACAAATGTTGGCAGTTGGTTGGGTCATTGGTTCATTGGTATAATTTTATGTTATACATTTTTTTTCTCTGCTCAGCCACAGATGACCAAGCTAGTCAGGAGAGGTTTCATCTCTTCTTCTTTCATGGTCTACGAAGGAACATCTCTCCTTCTTCGGCTGGTCCCCAGCAGCTCACAAAATGGTATCATCCATCAAGGCAAAGAAGGAAGACCACAGACAAAAGTTGAGATTGAAAATGGGAGTTAAGGATACATTTCTTTGCTTTTTAGAGTGACCATCTTTTTAGTCATCTTTACTACTTCAATAGGAGGCTACAGAAGCATATGAAAGGGAAGCTTTAGTTTAGATACCTACCCTGAACAGGAGGTTAAACTCAGTGGCCTTAAATCCTATGATTTTATGGGAACTGAATAGTTTTGAAATCACCATTGGGCCTTTTCCAATTCTCTCCAGCCATCCTGGAATCAGCATGAAAATTATGCAGGCATGAAATCTCTTCTGCCTCTATTGGCTCTGTTTCAAGTTCCTGCAAGCATTTGAACTCCTTCCAAGCTAATGTAGTGACAATGCCTAACTGATTTTCTACATCCTGAGGCTGCCCTTGGACAGGGTGGGGAAAAGGGCAAAAAGACCACCTTAACAGAATCTTGTTGGATTGCAGCGCCAATATTAGCTCCATGAAATCAATGATAAAGAACAGACACAGCCAAGGAGGACTTAAACCTGTGTCATTTACAGGCCAGGGATGAATAATTTCATTGGCACATGTCAGGGGGAAAAAAGGTTTGCCAGGACTTTTTACCATTGGGCAAAAAGGAACAACTAACAGCTTTACCCTAACTATGTTTCCTCCCCCCAGATATTATAATGATGCACAGAATTTCACTGGCTTCAGAATCATTTGTACCAACACTGGCCCACTAAGGCCAGTGGATTCTGGATTTTCAGAAGCTCAATAAAGTATGTACAACTCTGTCCATAACCACCCACTGTCCATATAGTCAAGATGTCTAAAAATTTAAAAAAAATCCCTGCTAGAGGATGAGGAAAATAATTTCATTTTTTGAACTGATAAGTCATTGCAGAGGACAGCTGCTAGTTTGCCTCTAAAGCAGAAAAGAGGTGAAATTAAAGAGAGGAGGACATTAAAGAAAATTGTGCGGGTGGTGGGATTGTAAACTACCATACACTGCCTGCAATAGCAACCCTGCTTTGCTTCCCAGTTCTTAAAACAAGCAGGGAGGGATTTCAGGAAGGGGAACCGAGCCAGAGTATTTATCTCTTAGTCAGGTTGCCTCATTCCTTTTCAGCCCGCCTTATCGGCTTCATCAGTGACCACATCCCTTTCACTATTCAGTTCCAAGTTAATGTTTGACGGAAACGGCTGCCTTTCAGCCACAGAGAACAGATCTTGTGGGAAAGGGCAGAGACAACAACAGTATTGCTGGTCTGGTTAGCTGTCCTTTAGGGTGAATTGGGAGCTGTCTCCAGCGTTGAGCATTTCCTGTCTTTTCTCTCACTCAAAACAGGTGAACAAAAGCTTTCCTCAACTTGTGTTTTTCTCTCTCTCATTGTTGCTAATGTGATTGAGGCACAGGACTAATTCAATAAGCATGGGGTGTGGAGTGTGACAGAGGAAAGTTTTTATTAAACTTCATTTCTGTTCGTCCTTTCTTAGAACAAAAGATTCTTCAAACCAACCGGTCGAGCTTATGCTTCAAAGTAAGTATGTTGACTGTAAAATGTAGTAGAGAGTGACCTTTTTTCCTTCTTTCTGTTTCTGTACTTAGTTTTCCTCATGGATGCACCAAATGACCAGGATTGTTGGCACCTCATTGATCACAGCCACGTGAAAGATTTTGAAGTAGACCGATGGGTCAAGATCACCCTTGCCCTCATCTACAGCTTTATCTTTGTGGCAGGGATCTTGGGCAACAGTGTCACCATCCAGACTTCCAAAATCCTGCAAAAGAAAGGCTACATGCAAAAAGCAGTGACCGACCACATGATAAGTCTAGCATGTTCGGATCTCTTGGTGATCTTACTGGGGATGCCTGTGGAATTCTACAGCATCATATGGAATCCTTTCTCTACCACCAAAGGAGATCTAATCTGCAAGTTGTACAGCTTCCTTTTTGAGGCTTGCAGCTATGCCACTGTGTTACATGTGGCCACCCTAAGCTTTGAAAGGTACATTGCCATCTGCCATCCATTTAAGTTCAAAGCTACTTCTGGAACCTACAAAGTGAAGATCCTCATTGCCTTTGTTTGGATTACATCTGTGCTGGTCGCCCTACCCCTTCTCTTTGCAATGGGGGCAGAGCACCCATTGGTAGACATCCCAGACCATCAAGGGTTGACTCTCTGTGAAAAGTCCAAGACTCAACGTCTGCCTGAATTCAGTTTAAATGTGACAATATGTACCAATTTATCATCCAAATGGAGAGTCTTCCAGTTCAGTATTTTCACTGCCTTCATTGTGTATCTCATAGTATTGGTATCTGTAACATTTATGTGCCGGAATATGATTAAAGTGTTGATGGTCTACAAGCAAGCAACAGTGGAGGTAAAAGGAAGAGGAAATCAGTCCCAATTTCTAAGGAAAGCCGAAAGTCCAGAGAGCAGAGGATCCAAAAAACAGACTCTTATCTTTCTAGGTAAGTTCATAATGGAATTACCATATATCGATGGGAGAGGGATAGTAAGCAGGAAGAAATGGGACCATACAGTTACAAAACAAGAATGAAATGGAGGAGGAAGGATTGCCTGAAATGGGAGATTAATGGCAGAAGTGAAGTAGGCTTTATCCTTTTTCATATTTACTATTTCTTATTCATTATGGAAACATTCCTGCTCAATAGGAAGCAAGTGACACAAAAATTATATGGACTCTCTAGGGTGTAAGCATCATGATTGTGTATTTAAGAAGAATGGTTTTATTTCAGTTGCATTCCCTTTTTCTTTATGTGCAGAATCCATTGTCTGAGTTTGTCATAGTCTCCTATATGTATTTTAGGACATTTTCCCATCATTATTTAAAGAAAGCGCTCTATTTTTGATTTACAGCCATTGTAACCCCAGATACTCTCACTGTGTAAGGGTTGAAATTTTGCATCTCTTCAGTTAAGTATGTCCTGGGTGAGGGTGGAGTTCCTAGAATTCAGTTTGCTTTTATAGTGATGTTGCTTGATAACACTTAATTCTTTCCCCTTAGGCCAGGGGTGGGAAACGTTGGGCTCTTGTATGACTTATAGACTTCAACTCCCAGAGTTCCTGAGCCAGCCAAGTCATAAAAGAGTCAACGTACCCCACCCCTGCCTTAGACAAATAAGACGTTTGATGGCCACACAGCATTTCATAAGCAACAAGAAAGAAAGGATGGAATGGGGGTCTAAAATAGGAAGTATGATAAATATATTGATCCATGTTCATTTGAAATATGCTGGAAAAAAATCAGGCAATTATTTGAAATTTGTATCTTTGCAATACAGATCTTATCAGAAATAAATTATTTCTAAATTTGTAGGATTTACTTCTAGAAAAAAAAGTGAAGGTTTATTGACATAGGCTACAAACCTGAGCACCAAACTTGGAAAAAGACTTCCTGATATTGTTGGCCTTCCACATGAATTTGTTCAGGGTCTCTTTTAACTTATTATGTATTTAATAATAATGCTGACAGTCTATTTATAATCTGCATAATCTTGGGTTTTGCGAAATCAATTTGTGACATATATCCCATCAAATTCTACCACATCCCATCAATTTCTGTCATATAGCGGTAGCTGTATACAGTAAATACAATTAATCAATGAATTCAGACTTTCAGAAAACTGGCCCCAAAATGTATATTTAAGGTTGCCATTTTATTTCATTGGCCATGCTCCCTTGTCTTTAACATAACCTCATCATGAAAACCTTTCCTGATACATGCTGAATTTCTCTCATCTGAATATGCGTTGAGGGCCTAACACCAAGGCTACTATACCTGGACAGTAAAGACCTAGATAATCATTGAACAACAACTTTGTGGTCATCTGGTAGTCATCCACATGTTTCCAGTTATGGTAATCATAGCCTTGGGTTCATCTGGAGATGCCAGTTTTGCAGGCTCTGAAACCTCCTTGGGTTTCATGATTGCAGGATTTATATATGAATAGTTACTTTACTTTTGAACTGCTACACTTGTGCAGGTCTCTCTCTAAGTGTGACAGAATATATAGTTATGTGATTGATAGAAGCCATGCATTTGCCTAAAACTCTTAAGTGGAGGTTATAAATATAATATGCAATTGAAGGTATTGGATTAGAGGTAGTTAAAAAGATAAGCATTCTTTCTTCACTTTCTTTCAAATTTACACTGATTTTAGTAAAGCCTTGATAATTCTTAAATGCTTTCATATGTTGTTCTCTTCTGGAATTTTTTCTGCATTGTATTTATTAAATGATTGGCCATTACATTACATTTTACTTTTTCCTTGCCACATTCTCTTACTCTAAACCAGACATGTCAAACCCGCGACGTCACGTGACGTCACGCAACGTATCAGAGCTTTTTCGCCGTTGCCGGCAATGGGGTGGGCGCGGCTCCAGTATGATGAAACTGGCCCACAGGCCAGCAGTTTGACACCCCTGCTCTAAACCTTATTAAGTTGTCCTCTCCCCATCCTGAGAATCATGCCAGACTGTCATTCATTAGGCATCAGCACCTTATTTTGGTTTCTTGACTTTTCATCATGTTCTGTCTGAATGGTTGCCATTCCTTGTTTATGCTGGCTTGCCTGCTACAATTATCTTCTTCTATTAAACTATCATACGAGTGTCCACATCACCAAGCCAGGTGATCTTTTGAATGCCTTTGAAAGTCCACCAGATTTTTTGGGGGTGAAGTGTGGGGTAAACAAATGAAAATACATTAGCAACTATTGAGTATCTAAGTAGATTAGCAATTATATCTTATGCTTTCCTAACAGTTTGTGCTGTTACTATGATCTGTAGCTAACAAAACCTTCACTATTTAATTGACTGCAAAATAAATGCAGTGAATATTGCAAATTCCCTTCCCTTCATTTTGGGAAAAAAGAAACAAGAAAATGTGGATATTCTGTTATAATTCTGACCAGACACTAAAAATAAATAAAGCAAATAAGCTGGCATATTGTTTATTGCTGGTTTATTATTGCACTAAAAAGAATTGTCCATAAATGTAACTGTGAAAATTAATATCCCATTTTCAGCTGTGGAGGGTACTTTTCCTGTATTATTTTAGTAATCCCTACTAGGAGACCAAATGAACACTGAACAATGCTGAATTCAGGAAACTAACTTACATATTTGTACTTCATGGTGGGGCAATGTTGACTCACAAGTAGCCACAGAGTTCATAGTTAATGAGAAATTCTGATTCAGGCTCTAGATATTTTGCTCAAAGACTCTTTAATTCTTTACAATGTCTTTCACCTATATCTGTTTTAGTATCTCAGGAGATTTGTTTGAAGAACCCAGGATATAACACTGTTTTTGCTATTTTAACAAATAACTAACATGTTAACATATTTTTCTTATGGTTTTTCATTCCATATGTGGCATACTTAATAGGCCTTCAGTATATAGTTCCATAAGCTGAGGTCATTTCATAGCACTCTATCCTGTTATATATTAAGCAACATGTTTTGCTTCATCATTTTGTGAGTTGGGTTTTTCTCTTTTGTTGATATGCTTCAGCCAATGTGATTAATAATTTTATAACCTGTGCTTCTGAAGTTCATAAATGTATTTCCCTAGGATTTAAGTAGTATGTGAACCCAGTGATTAACCATTTGTGGGGTGGAGTGGGCATTAGCTGTCTTTCTATTGGGACAGGCTTTTTCCTATCTGACTTCATCTATCTGTAGCCTAAGACATCCATCTACTGTAGTATTCCGTTATATATTCAAGATGGACAGAGTTTAATACTCATATGTTATGTATATATAAGAGTGTAGGTCTATACATACGTTGTATATAGTATATTTATGTGTGTGTCATGTATGTGTTCACTTTGAGAGCGGGCAACTAAAGTTCATTTTTTTATGTGTGTCGTTGTGCCCACAATAAAAAATGACAATAAAGGTTATCTTATCATCTCATCTCATCTCATCATCTCATCATCCCATCTCATCTCATCTCATCTCATCATCTCATCATCCCATCTCATCTCATCTTGCATAACAGCACATGGCACAGATAGTTTCACTTTTGTTCCTAAAAACAAATAGATAGTCGCCACTATTGCAAACCATATAGTATGCTATATTCTGGAAAAAATACATTTTGCTTATGCGCCATCAAGTTGATGTCCACTCTTAATAAGCACATTGGACACATTCTCCAGAATGATTTGTCTTCCAGCTGGCCCTTCAGGTCTTTCAACAGTATACCCACTGTATTTGAGTCCATCTACCTTGCTGCTGGTTGTCCGCTTCTCTGTCCTTCTGTCTTTCCCAACAAAGGCAAGTTTCTCAAGAGAGTTGAGTCTTCACAGAATGTGTCCAAAATATGATAACTGTGTCAGGTCATTTGTGCCTTAAGTGAGGATTCTAGACTGAGTCCCCTATTTGTTTGTTTTCTTGACTATCCATGTTATCTTCTGACTCCTGTTACCAAAATACTATTAGTATTTCAACTTATAATATTTTCAGTATTGGCTAATTATGATCACAGTGAAGTAAGTATTCACTGTTAGGAAAATACATTATTTTTTTTGTAAAAAGCTGCCCTGTTGCCTGCAGTGGCTCACATGTTGTGCAATATATTTAGCATGAATAATGCTTCCTCAGACCTATGACTATAGTATACCATATCCACTATGTTGCATCACCTTTCTCTGGTTGATGACCAGCAATTGAACATTTTTAAAAAGGGAATCATTACAGATATCGCTTTAATGAGTTATTTCTTATCTGCAGGTAGTTTTGCATTCGTACCTAAAAATATATGTGTGTATGTGTATGTACAGGATGAAATGAAGTGATAAAGAATTTAGAATATTTTCCTGGGTGGCTTCTGAGATGCATTTCAGATGACTCTTTAATATGTCTCACTAATTAACTTTGATTAGAAAATAGATTAATGAACAGAAGATAGAAATAATGGCTTGCATGCAGGATATTAGCACATTTGAAGTTGTGGCTTTCATAGGAATTATGCTTTGGGGTGCTTTTAACCTAGACTAAATGAACTGATATAATGTTTACAAATTGTTGAATTTAAATCTTTTGATAACAATATCTCTGTCTGAATTTTATTTAACAGATGGATTCAAATTAAAACAAATATTTGCTTGTTCCAAATGTACTTCACATTTAACATGAAATGTAAATGACAAACACAGGGCAAGATGTCTTGAGGAGTTTAACAGTAATAAAAACAATTTATAGAGTCTTCCTCCCAAGTTCTTAAAAGTGATAACTTCTACAAAGCAGAAATTAAATCCATAAATCTACTACTCAAGTGAAAGTGAATGAGGTTTTAGCGCTGCATTTTGATTTTGAAAAATAATGACAACAAGCTGAAAACATTTTAGAGAGGGAATGGCAGTGAAATGTTTTCTGTGTGCTACTTAGACCCTAGTATTGAATTTCAGGATGAAAACAGAAAAGTAAAATAAAATAATAAA